ATCCATCTATAGCCTGCCTGCTTTGCATACTCTGAAAAACTACACTCAACATTTACTACCCATAAATAAGGTAAAACCCAGTGCTATAAAAGACCCCAAGCCACTCCTGCTTTTTGCAGCTCTGTGACCCAGAAGTTCCTTGTCTTGCTGCTGAGTAATACCAGAATGTAAACCCCTCCTCAGTCCTCTGGGAGTTCCCTTACCCTACTACCCTAGCCCCTTCTGAGTTGTGTCCCCCCACACCCCACAAACACACTATGGGAAGGTCTCACGTTGTGAGGGACTTCCTTTGCGCACACACACCTTTCAAAGTGCGGCCCAAATAAAGGTCGTTGTGTCCTGCTGCCACCCTGTGGTCATATCTTTTTCCTTGATCTGTTCCTAAATCCTTTGATTTCACTATAGTTTATATGCATGGTGTTCTAGAAGACACCAGAGGTATAACATAAAACAAAAAATGTTCATATGTCCAAAAAGCTTGAGAAATGCAACACAACACTATAGTGAATACTAATTTATCAAAGGCTCTGAAAAATATGATAGCTATGAAACTTAAAACTTTTTTATCCAAGCGTTTGCCAATTTTTTTAGCCTAGAATACTGTGTATATTATTTTTCCGATCCCTGATTTCGCAGAATAGGAAAGTGAGACACTGAAATGTTATTTGCCCATTGTAACACAGTTTTTAATAATAGTGCTAAGACTAAAACTAAAATTTCAAGATGTAGTGAAATGAACACTGATCCTCAGTCTCTTGCCATCTCTCCAAAACATTGAATTACCTACCTTTTATGGACCTCAGCTTTCCTTTATGTATAATTATCAGTCATACAATTGGAAGACCTGCTAAAAATGCAAAAGAGTTCATACACGATGGCTGTTATCAATAAAGATTCTTACAGAGAAAAGGCTGAAGTTTTTCAATACCCAGATTATCTCTACTCTTCCCCTTTCCCATCATCACTGCTACCATTGTATGTTTTTAATTTTTTTTTTCTCCAAAGACAAATACTTTGGGCAGGGGGGGCATGAAAAATGTAAGTTCTTTCTTCTTTCATGACACCTTATATGTTTCTTCTTGTAATTGTTCAAATATAATTTGACCTATATAAGACAATATTACTGGTATTTTACAAAAAAGAATATATGTACGGACATATGTTTACACAGTTCTAATATACGTTATCCTCACAGCAATCTGTCCCCCAAATTGGCAGTGTACACTGTAGTTACCCATCAGATTCCCTGAATTAACAGGTTTATTTTCTCTACTATATTTCTAAGTTTATAAAATTTTCTAACCTTACAGACAGTAAACAGAACTCCATATGATAAATTAGGTCTTAAAACTGTTAGAACCACTCTGACTTTATTTCTGTAGGAGAGACAAAGAAAAACAAAAAAATAAGCTGTTATTTTAAAATATTGTAAATCATAGACATGGAAACAGGAAAATTTTTAAACTTGTTTTTAATTTAATTATGTCTACAATGATTATCAGTGAGTTCAACTCACACTGTTGCTAATCTTTTACAGTGGACATGTATTTTAGTTTCTCATAATTATCTAGACGTTTCACGGTATTCATCGGCATAGGGGCTTAAATTTTAAAAGGGCAATAAAGCAATTAGACAGTACCAGAGTCCTTAAATTCACATCAAGAGGTAGGAAAGGCCAGGAAATCTGCCCCTTTGAATTGACTCAGAATTTTAGTGGTATCTGTAGATTTGTTTCAACCTAATTGCTTTACAAGCAAGTTTTTTAATAGATTTCTAGATAATAACATTGTTAAGATTTATCATAAAGAGCCAAAGCAAAGTATTTTAAGACCCAAGTGGTTTGCTTCAGTTTTCCTATAATGAGGCTGATTCCTTACTTAAAGGACAACTCTTTTTTTTATTTCATATTTTTCATTTTCTAAACCTTATATTACTGTGTTACCTCATCCTTATTTTAGTCATTCATTACTAATCCAGGATAACAAAACTTCTTTATGCCAGACACCATAATGAAGCATTAGAACTCTGATCTTTTTTCACTGTGCATTCTAAAAAAATGTCCAAATTTTCCTTGATAATGTGAAATTATTTTGCTTGTTAATTTATATTTCCCATGGTTTCTTTTTCTTGGTGTTCATAAAGAGACTGTCATGAATGAAATCTCTTTTAAAAAGTCATAGATTTTTAGAAAGATGGTGAAAGTTTCCTTAGAAGTCATGCAAACAACTCTCTTGTTTTAGAACAAAGATAGAGTTAATGTAAGTAGCTTGCACCAGATCTTACAAATAGTCGATAGTGGAACTGGAAAGTCACCAGATCCACAATCTCTAGTTCTTTTCCCAATAGAGGAATTTCCTGAGCCCTACAATTTTTCCTTATACTGTAATAAACTCGTAGGCATTGAATATTCCTACTGTTCAAAAATCACAATCTTAAATGCTCTATATTTTCCTGGGGAAAAGTTGCCTGAGGAGAGTGAGTAATATTGCCATCTAGCATCTAAATTTTTTAATTACATAAAAATATATTGTATGCTTACTCTCGGGGGGAAGTAACTTCCTATTTATGTGCAAGAATAAATTCCTACAGAAAAATGATATAAATATAGTCAGAAAATATTTATATATAATGTTTGGTAACATTCGTAACTAGTAAAAATGCCAAAATAATCCTAGAAACACTAGCTAAAATGAAATTCTTTTCCAACTTTGTTCTTTTTCAAAACTATATTAGCTATTCTGGGTCATTTGAATTCCTATATAAATATTAGTATCATCTTGTCAATTTCTTTTAAAAAGAGATTTTGGTAGGGATTACATTGAATCTGTAGATTTAGGGAGTATTGCCATCTTAATATTAAATCTTCTGATCTGTATATCTTCCGTTTATTTACAACTTCTTTAATGTTTTATAGTTTTCAGAGTATAAGTTTTTCACTTGTCAAATTTATTCCCACTTTTTTCTTTTTGATGGTAATATAAATGGAATTACTTTCTTAATTTTGGAATTGTTCATTGCTGGTGTATAGAAACACATTTGATTTTTGTGTATTGACTTTCTACCATGAACCTTACTGAACTCATTTATTTCTAATTTTTTAGAAAACTCCTTAGAACATTTTATATACAGTATTATATAATCTACAAAAAATATATAGTTTTATTTCTTCCTTTCCAACATGAATGCCTTTCATTTCTTTTTCTCCCTTAATTTCCATGGCTAGAACCTCCAGTTCATTGTTGAATAGAAGTGGCAAGAGCAGACATCCTTGTCTTGTTCCTGATCTTAGGGGGAAACATTTAGTGTTTCACCATTAAATATGATATTAACTGTGGGTTTTCCATGGATGCCTTTTATCAGGTTGTGGAAGTTCCTTTCTATTCCTAGTTTGTTGAACGTTTTTATCATGAGTGTTGGATTCTGTCAAGTGCTTTTTCTGTGTCTACTGAGATTGTGTGGTCTTTGTCCTTTAGTCTATTGATATGCTATATGTCATAGGCAGAATAATGCCACCACCCAAAGACATCCGTATTCTAATGGCAACAGCAGTAGGAAACTAATACAGTGTATTGTACTAATTGATTTTCAGATATTAAACCAATTTTGCATTCCTGAGCTAAATCTCAGTTGATCATGGCATATAATCCTTTTTATATGTTACTAGGTTTGGTTTGCTAGTGTTTTGTTGAGGATTTTCAAGTACGTATTGGTCTGTAGTTTTGTGTGTTTGTGATGCCTTTGTCTGGCTTTGGTGTCAGGGTAATACTGGCCTCAGAGAATGAGTTGTGTTTTCCTTTCTGTTATTTGTATAGCCATTCTAGCTTTGTTGCATTTGCTGTTTGCATCATATATCATTTTCCATCCTTTTACTTTCAACCTACTAGAAACCTTTCTTTAGATTTCCTATATAACACATTTCCTCTATAACAACTGATATTTTTATGACAATGAATAAAATTATATTTGTTAGCTTACTAGCTTTTTTTTTTTTTTAATTAGCTGCTGTTGTAAACCTTTGTTTTCCCAACTATAAGTTCTTATTTCCATATACTCTCTGGTTCTCTTGCTTACAGTAAACCTTAATATTTGGGCTTATTTTTGTTTTACTTAAAATAAAATTTAGTAACCATATGTTGGGCTCACTTTTTTTCCTACTAGTCTATGAAATCTGTAAATCCAATAACCATTAAACTAGAAAATTTCCAAGACTAGATTAGAGATATGTTGTACATAAAACATAGATTGTATCTATGAGACAAGTTTGTTAAACTTCTGAATAATTTTCAAAGTAATAAAATTTTAGCAGTTTTCAAATACATATTTTTAAGACATTGTAAAACTGACTTTGCAAAAGATGTAAACCTTATTAAAATCACTACTATACATTGTGAATAACTGAAAACTATCTAAACATCCAATAATAAACGTTGGTTAAATTTTAATTAATTCATATAATAATATTAAAAATCATGCTTTATAATAATACTGAATGACATGGAAAGCAAGTTGTTCTGCTCTAATAACTAGTCCCCCCTCTAACCTTTTTGGACATGTTTCAGCTTCCAAAGTGCTTACCTTACCTTCTGGCTTTCTTTAATCCTGCTCACTCCTTTGTAGTCACTTCAGTAAACCCTGTTCACATACCCCACTTTAGTATGTCTTCTGTTTCTTGTTAGGAGCCTGAGAAAGGCTATACATGGGTTAATGATAAAATTACACCATTACTCTCTGGTAGGTGAAATTATAGAGAAAACAATATATGCTTGTGGTTTTTTGTTGGTTTTTTTTTTAAGTATATTATGGCATGTACACTGCAGCTAATAATAGTGAGGGTTTCCATTAATTGTTTTTTTAGTTGTATGCTATTCTTTACATGTCATCTCATTTAATCCTTTAACCCTATGAGATATAATAGTTATCATTCCCAGTTTACGCATTAGGACACATGAAATATCTCTGATTACTGTGAATTAATGTATTATCATTGTTTTCTTTCGTAGATCATTCGCGAGAAGTCTTGGAGCAATTAGTAGGCCCAAACAAATTAAAGCAAGTGACATGGACTGTTTATTGATGCTATGATCTTCATACTATCAGGAAATGATGGTCTTGGAGATTGGCTTTCCAATACATAATATGGTTCGTGCTTTAACCAGACTCTTAAACACGCTAATAGTGCTATTATTCTGTTTGCTTGATGAGTCATTGTTTTTGAAATGGTAATCCTAGCATGCCTTCTGATGGATGTTGGGGGTGGGGGGTGGGGGTGGGTACTGTGTTTATTTCTCAAATAACTAAGTTTTAAAATTACCTGTTTTCCCTGGAGATTTCCTTCTCCTACCTAGATATTTGAGATATTATAAGAGAAATTTACCAATATGGCTAGACATTAGAATTCTAAGTAAAGGTATTTCTAAAAGTATAAATACCTTTCTAACTATTTTCTGGTTCCTCCCTTCCTGAAGTATTTAAATGCCCATTGGCCAAAAGCAAAGCTGAACATCTGGCCTGTAAATTCTTTACAGAATTTAATATTTAATGAAACAAAGCAATATTATAATATCGTAATCTATGACATCAAATACCTTAGCCATTCAGCATATGAATGTTACCGAAGCCCTTGCCCAGCCACTTATCTCATTGGTTTTTATGGCTACTTTTTCTGAAGAGTTCCCAGACCTAATTCTGTGTGTGGTGGGGAGTCCCCTCACATCAACAAACAGTTCTCAGACACCAGCAAGGTGTCCAAGAATTCAGCTCAATTCTGACACTGTCTATCTGTAGATAGCATCAGAGTCCACAGGTTAAGGGTTCAGTCCTAAAAGACAGCCTCTCCTCACCCCACACACACACACACACACACTTCAGATGCCAGTTACAGGTCCAGGTTGTTACCTGTGCTTCAGACCTACTGGCTACAAATTGGAGGTTCCAACGACCCCCTCCTTGGGTTCGATTAATTTGCTAGAACCACTCACAGAACTCAGGAAAACCTGTTTACTCACTAGAATACCAATTAGTTACATAAAACAGCCTGGTGAAGAGATACATAGGGAGAGGTCCCAAACAAAGAAGCAATTTCTGTCTTCCTGGAGTTTGGGGCCTGGAGCCCTGGCAGATGGAAGGCTTCTGGTTCTTCAGCCTGGAAGCTCTCCAAACCCCCTCCTTGTAGCTTTTTATGGAGGCCTCGTTTTGTAGGCATGACTGATTAATTCATTGGCTATTGGGTGATTGATTCAACCTCTCACCCCTCTCTCCTCCCCAAAAAATCAGGGGGTGGAACTGCAAGTTCCAACCCTCTGTTCACGATTGGCTCATGGCAACCAGCCCCTATCCTTATGTGCTTTGCAAAAGTCACCTTCATTAACATAAACCAAGTTATGGTAGAAAAGATTTGTTATGAATAACAAGGCATCCTTTCACCTTTATGGCTCTGTTTTCAGGAACTGAGGACAAGAGACCAAATATGATAATAAAAGATGCTACATTGCTTATTGTTTAGGAAATTCCAAAAGTGTGGGGAGGTGTAAGCCAGGAACTATGGATGAAGACCAGTACATTTGAGAAATATATTTTGGTCATCTGAATGACCAAAGGTATTTATGTATATCCTATAAATCACAATATCACATTTCCAAAATATGTGCTCTCCATCTATGAACTTTCTTCCTTAAAAACTATATTCAGGAATATATGAGTAAATATAAACTCTCATTACAGAGGTCGTATCCTGAAGCACTATTGGTTTCACATTGTAAAATAAACAGCACAGCTCTTAGGTTTTAAATGAAATGTATTACTCTTCTGTAATCACGAAATTCTCTGAAGTATACTGTGCTTAACCTACCCCCAAATTCAGCATATTCCCTGTGTCATGAGCCTATCTCAGTGGTACTTTCTTACAGATTTCCTATTTTAACTTTGATGTAGTGAAAAACTAGGAAAGTGTGGTATGTTAAATTCCTTGTACATATTTAGAAGGAGGGTTTACATATTCATCTCTATTTCTTGTCCTTACAGTTAATACTTTATAAATGTGCTATGTTTATAGTGTGGAAATATATACACGTATATACGTGTGTATATATACGTACATATATATTTGTGTGTGTGTATAGCCACTATCAGGCTACATTTTATACTTAACTTAGAACATATATGTGGTGGTGTTTACAGCACTTTTAGAGAATAGGAAATACAAATATATAATTAGTACAAAATTACAAGACCCAAAGGTAAAAACCAGGTATCCCTGTCCACCAGCTATCTGGTACCCTCTCAGAAGGCAACCACTAGTCCCAATTTCTTATCTTTCTAGAGATATTCTATGTATGCTGCAAGCAAATATGTATTTTATACACATACATATATATGTAGGTGTTGTCAAACAGACTCAAAAAGAGTCTGGAGGCTTTGCTAGAAAAAAATGACAAAGATTTATCCAAGGGTCTTAGAGTTTACAAACTGGAAACACAGCTAGGCAAAAAAAAAAAAAAAAAAGTGTTTTAAAGAAGAAAAGTTAAGAGTTCTTATAGTAAAAGTCACATCTTTGGGAATAATCAGTCCTGCATCCTTAGCCCTAAAATTGGCCCAGGACAGTTATGAGCCAGATGTCAGAGGTCTGGATGGTGGATGCCAGGGAGTCTGAAGGGTGAGCACCAGGAGGTCTGGTCACATCCTGAGTCCTTTAGGGGGTAGCCAGAGGGTTACCCACAGGTAAATAAATGTCCCAGCATTGACATAGGGCTGGAAAATCCAAAAGTTTAAGTTCCCAGGCTAGTTAAGACAAGAAAAAGAATCGTTTCCTTATGCCTCCATCTTCATGTTAATAATTTAGCAGCTTGGTCAAAGTGACTTTGTATTTTCCCTGTCTTCAGTCTTTTCCTCAATATATACGTACATCTTTTTTTACATAAGAAGTGGTATACTATACACATTATTCTTCACATTGTTTCTTATTTATGTCATAGTGTTTTTAATATAAAAGATCTTGAAAACCTGGGGCACAAAGCGTTGGTATAACCTAAGTGTCACAGTGCAGAATATGTATGAAATCCTAAAATCTTGTTTTTATCCATGGTTGTCAATTTTATTTATGGTTGCCCTATTATATTCTGAATACTATATTCCATATTTTGTATTTTGTTTAATTCAACAATACATCATATAGGTGTCCTCAACTATAGAAACAGACTCTGCTACAATATGTAATTCCTCTCTACTACTTAAATTACATGTTGCTATTACTGGATAATGCCTTCTATAATTATATTCCTATAGCAGTAAAACTAGAAAAAATGGCAGATAGAGGATTGTATATTTGGTATAAGGCAGAACTAGTTACATGACAAAACTTAAACATTCATATTTTGGAAACAGGATTTTCCATTTCATAGGAATTGCATTCTTTAAACTGGAGAGTCATTTAGAGTTAAACCCAAACATAGTTATTAGAAGCAATCTGACAACTCAAGGTTGAAAATCCCACACTGTGCTTGTTGTCAGTCCATTGTTTTCTTGCCTAGTAGATTCCGGAAGTGAATATTCTACCACTTTGTGCAGCTGATGCTGAATGCTATGTCCCCTGAACTGGGGTCGTCCAGGATCACCAATCAGTACTTGAGTTCTGTGGGTCCAACAGCAATTCTTCAGCCATCGATGAAGACTATCTGCAAGGTCTTCATCATAAAACATATCTCCAAGCACTATAAGGTCCCACTTATCTTGTTCCAAATCCAAAATGTTTTTGGTTAAGATTGGAAAAGGATTCAGTTGATTCAATTCACAATTTAGTGTGATAGCCATTCCTGCAACTTTAAAAAAGCATATGATGAACTGGTATATATTAGGCTGTTTTAATTCCCTATTGATACATTTTAGTAATTTAGAAAACCTCCAAATAATGTTTTTTTCCCTTTTTGTTTAAAGATGATTTTTAGGTAAAGAAGACTAAAGTTTATACAAGTATAAGCTATTTACTGCAATTTTAAAATATTTGAATGGATATCCCCAAAACAAAACAATCAATACAAAACTCCTAGAAATGTTGGGGTTTTAAGGAACATTTGCTAATCTCTGTAACCAAGACGTTTGGTTGGTACAGGGGACAGGGAAACAAGTGTTAGGCTTCAGCAATATGGCAAGTTAGAACTGAGTCCCTGTATCAAATAAAGACCTTCAAAGGCTGGATCCTCAATGAAAGGAAAGACTAGAAGAAAATCAGATATTAAAACTTACCTGTCTTAACTTGGGTTCTAATGGAACAAAATCACCCTCAAAGACACAGGCCTATCCTCACTTGGGTTTTGAGTCAAATAAACACTACCTATATATTTCAGGAAGTTCCTAGCCCAGAAATCAACAGTAAGTTCTCAGGTTGGTATCACTTGGACATATCTGACAGACACAAATACAAATCCTCTTGGGGGAAATGTACTGTCAACTCAGGCCACACAGGATTCCCCACAAATAATGTGCCACTGAACATAGTTCATGATATGTTATACACATGGAAATAAACTATCATGTGGAGGCATCTGTAGATATTTGTCCTAGAAAAAAAATTTAAAAATGAGCTATAAATACTTTTAAATATGAAATCCTTACTAGGGTCTATGTCGGTGGCTAAGATCCTTGATGCCCCACTCATCTTAGCAGCAATAGCTGTAGCTCCACATCCACTCCCAAGGTCTAACACAGATTTTCCTCTGACGACATCAGGATTATCCAAAAGATACCTAAATTAGAAAGAAAGTGAAAAAACATCTAGGAGATGGAAGAAACGCAATAAGAGGTAACCAAGAAAAATTTCTCTGGGTTGACTAGACAAAGAAATAGTGGAACGTAGCAGAGGAACTTGGTCCAACCATGGCAAGTTTGGCCTGACTAGAGACAAAATGTAAATCTTAAGAGATGGACAGAAGTGGCAGAGAAAGGACCTAGTCATTTGACCTTACTCTTCAGCAGGTGTGGAGAGCAGTTCCATAAAACTGACTAATCGTGCTCTTAAAGTCATCGTTTAAAAAACATTGAGCACTTACTATGATCTACAAACTACCAAACATCAACAATATAGACAGACAAAATAGCACCATAATCAGGACCCAGTATGCCAGATCCAAAATCCACCATCTCCTTTGAATGTTCATTATAGAGTAGTTGTGCCCACTCCTTGAATTCCATTACAGTGGCCTCTCTGGTAAGGTATGATCAAAGTCTAGTTCAGCCAAAGAATTTGGGTCAAGGCTAAGTAGTTACCAAACGTGAAGATGAATGAGAAAATCCTAAAATAATGAAAGTCAAGTGACACTTGATCTTAACACTGGAATAAAAAATAGCAGAGACTGTGACAAAGTAGGGGTGTAATGCCCTGTTAGAAGGGAGAGCTGCTGCCCATCTTCAGCTAATTGTTGCCACACAGAAATCCTGTTACAAGAGATTGTTCCTGTTTTTCAAATCAATGTAGATTTTACATGAAATCCCTCAAGTTTTAAATGTTAGCAACTGATTTTTTTAAAAAGTTTACAACTGTGTTGAGCAGCAGGAGGTGATTTAAGAATGTGCAGATTAGGGCCTGCCAAATAAAGAGGTACAAGCCACCCACACTGGGGCATCAGGTACCTCCCTCCATGTGTGAGCTCCCACTTGGGGGAGGTAAAAACCACAGGGTCATTTTGATGAAGGCGCAGTTTCAATGCACCAACACAGGAAATAGAGTCACAAGATTTATTACTTCCAGATCCCAGAAGCAAAGAGGCACCATGCGTTGGGGGAAGAGCCGTCCTTCTCAGGTCAGAAGCAGGGGATAGAAAGCAGAGTACAAGCACCTATTACTTAGAAGGTGACTGGGGGCACAGGTCACTAACTTTTCAAGGGCTTAACTCTAAGTAGTTATTTTAAAATAACCCTGGTAAAAGCAAAGAGGGAACTTAGGGCGGGCATCCTAAACTCAAGTCCTTGTAAAAATGCCCAGATGCTGGGTGTTAGGATGGTTCCCTATCACACTGTAAAATGCCTAGGGAGTAACTCAGAAAAACAATCACAAGGCCACGCAAAACACATCCGTAGGACACCAATCTTTGGAGTACTCTGATTCAGACAGTCTCTTAAGGAATTTGATTGTACATTTGGAGTTGATAAATAATAACTTAATAGGTAATAGTCACTTAAAATGTCAGTATATTTTTAAATGGTGTAAACAATAAAGTTTGAAAATTTGGCAATACAACCAGAAAATTGGAATTGTTTGATTCTACCTGAAAAGTTTTCCAGTTCTCGGGATTCTCTCAAAGGCTCTAGGTTTGCATTTATTTTGCATTTACAACTATATACAACATTAATTTTGTTAGGCCATATCATTCATGTGAAAAAGAAGTCATCCCCTTTGTTTCACAGCTCTGCAATCTTGAGGCACAAACAGATGAAATCATTTACCAGTTGAAAAGCAAAGACTAGATTGAAAGCTGAAAGTTCTTGCCTTTGTTTCAGCAGCTGTGTTTTAATAAAAAGCATAGTGTGAATGTGTAAGAAAATGTCCTAAAGACCTTTGTTTGCAGTGTTAGTGTGAATGTGTAAGAAAATGTCCTAAAGACCTTTGCAGTGTGGGGAACTGGAAGGAGGGACCTTAAGAATGCAGGTTCAAGTTGCACGTGCACCTGAGACGTCAATAAACCACTAGAGAAGAGGGAATCTGCGCAGCCCATTCATTCACTGACATTTTTTGTTCTTTGGGAAATTGAGAAAAGGTAATGATGGAGGGGGTGTGAGACTTAAGGAGTAACATTTACAGGATTAAACTAGAAGAGCTTAAGGACAGGGGCTTTAGGTTCCATGTAGGATCTCTGCACTGACCATAAGAAACCATGAACCTGAGAACAGTGTGAAATCTGGATCATTTACAGCTATCTTGGGTCTTGACAGCTGACCCTAGGATTTCTCTTGAGGAAAGAAATATATTGGGGAAATACCTTGATAGGCATGGAGTAGAAGGTAAAACTATGCAACAAAGCAACCAAAAATTATGCTTAAACTACTCTAAATTAAGAAAAGAATGCCGGGTTTTTCTCTTTTTTTGTGAGGGACATGAAGACTGTGGAGTTGGAAGGAGCTGAAAAGAGAAAGGATCTGTAGCAACCTTAAAGGTTCCCATTCTATTTAGGGTAGTACCTAGACAGGGCTTGGCCTCCTGGCCAGTAGATTGCCCAGTAAGGATCGCTGTGGGGCCACAGGTCAGCTCTTTCCCACCAGAACTTGCAATTGGGGGTCAAAAGCCGCAACCGGATTTCGGGGGTCAGGCTGCCACTGTTGGTGACTTCAGTGTTCTCCTCCAGGAAAGCTTTCATCTCAGGTTCCAAAAGGCTTCTAACTCCCCTCCGGGGACCATGGCCCCAGGGAAACAAAGGAAGGCCACTGCTTCTCATAGCCTTCACAAAGACACCACAGTGGTTCATGGGAAACGGTGCAAATGCTCTCCAACCAAGGCTCAAGGCCATCAGTCCTTTTCCAAAACACAGGTTCCTTCAGTGTTGCTGTTGATAAGAGTAGCTTCTCATGGGCAAAGAATAAGGATCTGGCTGCCAACTTGATCTCAACTGGAATCTCTAGATCTCTAAAAACAGAAATAATACCGAAAATCCCAAGGCTCACCCAGACTTCCAAATCCTGTTACGAAGTAAGAAAGTATTGCGATGTAAGCTCTGTAGCAGATAATTCACAAATACAAGTTCATTTTAGATGAAAACATTGCTCATCAATTTAGGACAATCAATCTTTTAAAAGGATGCCTTTTCACAACAATCCTTTCAATTTCGAACAAATATAAAAGCATTTGATTTTGAGAGAAATCTTCAGGAACAATGCCTGTTACATAAAATAAGGTGTATCTTTTAAAGTTCTTTCATAATTTAATCACTCACCTTTAAGCAGGCACTGTACTTGGCAACTATGAACAAAATAAAAGTCCCTGTCTCCAGGAAGCTTAGATTCTAGTAGTGGAACAGAACTATTAACAGGCAAACACAGTTCTTGCCTTTATGAAGTCTAGTCAAGAGTTGTGGAGATTACAAACTATAATTGTGGGCAGAGGTATACAAATTACACTGACTATACTCCAATAACAATTGTTATAGCATTAAACAATGTAAACAAGATTCAGATGTTTTTCTTAATCTATGGATTTAATTGTAATAAAAGAGTAGCGACTTCCAAATCTCTTTCTGTAAATATCTCTGATGATTCATCTTTATCAAGCCTGGGCTGAAAACACTTGTTTCAAAAGAAAAAACACCTTGAAAAGAAAGTGGGAATGAGGAACAGCAGATTAAACAAATCCATACACCCAGTTGTTTGGGACTTCTGGTGTGTTCTGCATAAAAGTTTCAAATTGTCTTATCTGCCTAAGCATTTAGAGTAGGGACCCAAAACCCAAATGCCTACCATGTGCCAAATTGGTGACAAATGAGTGATGCAAGCTGACTGTAGGTTAACAGAGGGGCTGTGGCAAACGAGACTGCTTCTAAACACTG